GGCATTGTGGCTTGAGTATCCCTAAATGTTACAGGAACCCCTGGACCTTTCTTTTTATTTTGTTTTTAAACGCCACTGATTGAATATACCCCCCCGGCCCTTTTCTGTTTGATTTCTTAAGTGTTTTGTTTTTTTTTACTTGCGCGAGAGAGGGGGGGGAGGGAGATAGATAGATAGACAGATCGATAGATATATATATAGAGAGAAGAGAGACAGAGAGAGAGAAGAGAGAGAGAAGAGAGAAAGAGAGACAGAGAGAGAGAAGAGAGAAAGAGGGAGAGAGAGAGAGAGAGAGAGAGAGAGAGAGAGAGAGAGAGAGAGAGAGAGAGAGAGAGAGAGAGAGAGAGAGAGAGAGAGAGAGAGAGAGAGAGAGAGAGAGAGAGAGAGAGAGAGAGAGAGAACTGAAGGGGAGCTAGTGTTTGTGTGTGCTTTACAGTTCCTGTCTTGGCCCTCCTATACACACATTAATTCATGGCCTGTCCTTCCCTTCTTCCCTTCTCTAAGATTAGAGGTGTTACTAAGTAGTAACATACGAATAAAAGAAGAGATAATGACGATAGTTGTTTGATAAGAATTAAGGAGCAAACCACACCAGGGCTCCGAACAACCCCCCAAGCGAGCGGTCGTTCAGAGCAGAGAAACTGTAAGACAAACTGACAGAAACAACTGAGGGGAAAGAAAGGATTTAGACATCAGTGGCAACCATCGTCAGTTAAAATGAAGCACACCAGACCATACAGGAAAAGTTCACCCAGAGATTCAGTTGGATTATTCAGAAATTATGATGATATGACTAAGACATCTGCCACAACCATCAACAATCGAACATTCCTCTGATTATCTGAACGAAACAACTCCTCAGCCAGTCACCCCTGTTAAGTGTTACACGCTGAAATATCTCGAAGATTTATTACTTATTATTTATCGTTTTTTCTCTTCACAAATTGCTCCCGGAGCGGATACCATCGAAGGCTCGAACTGCTACCCTCACGTTGATATTATGCTGGCATTTCTGGACATTGGTGAGAGACGGACATGACAGCAGTTCTCATCACCAAGGCAGCTTTCTTGGGCTCGACATGTTTGGGGAGATTTCATAGCTGGCTGGGTCCTGTTGGAAACATATGTTTTTATTTGTTTATATGTTATTGTTTGTTTGCTTGCCGACAGACTGGCTGGTGAGGCCACCTCAGTTCACAGCACGATTCAACCAGATGGGGTCGAGATAATGAAATGTCTCTCTCGCCAGCTGATTGAGGAGGAAGATATGGAGGCAGAGGCCAGTACTGCGGTGGAGAAGATGATGCTTTTGGGAATACAAAAAGGAAACGGAAAATCTGGCATCCTTGCAGGAAAGAACAGAAGAACGTACAACCAGGTACGCACTGGCACAGTCAGTGCAAAGACCCTCGGCGACATTTTGGAGAGAGCAACGGAGCATCAAGGGATATGTTTGTTTGCTTGTTTGTTTGTTTGTTTGCTTGTTTGTTTGTTTGTTTGTTTGTTTGTTTGTTTGTTTGTTTGTTTGTTTGTGTAATTGTTTTTACGCCAACACTGGCATAATCTATAGATCTAGTCCTATATTTTAGGAGGCGTGCTTCGAACCTGCCTGTCGGAGCCAACCCGGGCTGAGAGGCATACAACATCCCGACAGGAAAACCGAAATACTCAGAACAAAATTAATCTGCCTCATCAGATACCGGTATGAGTTTGGTCCAGACTAAGATATCGACTCTGTTGAAAGAACGGTACATAAAAAGTAATGTTTACTAGATATTAAAAATAAGGTGCCACTGAACGTCGAGGTCTCATTCATTGTTGCCGGAATTTAATTTGTCGCTGCACTAGACACACTCCGATCATTTCCAAGACAGCTATTATTAGCAAAGTAATAAGGTCAGAGGGAAAAAAGGATGGAAGAAGAGAAGACGTAGACATAATAATTTCTACTGCTACTCCTTGGCTCCTCCTTACTGCTGTCTCATCAGATACCGGTATGAGTTTGGTCCAGACTAAGATATCGACTCTGTTGAAAGAACGGTACATAAAAAGTAATGTTTACTAGATATTAAAAATAAGGTGCCACTGAACGTCGAGGTCTCATTCTTCGGCCGCCACCCGGGCAAAATTCAAAATTTCCTACCAACTGAAAATATTAGGTGTGTCCCGCGCGCTCATATGACCTATGCAGTTGCGAGCGCCGTAAAACACTTTACAAAAACAAAGACATAATAATAATAATAATAATAATAATAATAATAATAATAATAATAATAATAATAATAATAATAATAATAATAATAATAATAATAACTGCTTGTGACCTTCAAGTTCTATCTATTTTTTATCCAAAGAATGCTCTACAAACAGAGTACATGTATTTGTGGTCTGTTGAGCCAGTGGCAATGTCATAATTTCACTGCCTTGATTTCTTGCTTCACTGGATGTATCCGCTTTACAAGCTCTTGCTTTGTTTGTTTGTTTGTTTTCCCAAAACATTGCTGTCACATGTCTTGGCTTTACGCCACTGTGATCGGCCAAGACAGAGGGTATCCAACTCTTCAACATCAAGGAGGCAATCTTACAGAGAAGTCTCCAGAGTATCTTTAGATTTATATCTTTTTTTTTTAACGGGTGAGGGTGTTCTGCCTTCCTCATACCAATTTTGAGTAGAAAATAGCTTTTGAGGAGCCGTGTATATCTAGCATCTACGTTTGCTGCCATTTTTTTGTCCAAAAGTTTCCAAAAGTTGCCACAAAAAGTGGCAAAAGTGGCAAAAGTTGCCCAAAAAATTGCCATTAATCTTCAAGCTTTCAACTCTCTGTAACGACGTAATATAGAAATATGTTGATAGAGGTAACAATCTACAGCACCAGAATTTCTTGTGCTCAGTTTTGAGCATCCAGAATATCATTTGTAGTCACCAACAAGGTAAAAACGTTGAAAATAAAGGTTTCAATAGAATGAAATCAAAATTAGAACAGCACGTATAAATCACCCCAAAAATTAACTAATTAGGGCGCGTGTCCACCTATCTGAAGATTGGCTGTTTTAACCCTAAAGGTGCGTAATTCAAGAAAAAGTAGGCTTGCAGGATACCACATGTAAATCATATTATGGAATCACTCACAATTGGGGTGTGCCAGTGTCAGTATTCGGTTTTGGAGGAGACACGCTCTAACATAACACATTTATATTTTTAAAAGGGTGGGAACAGCATTAAATTAAATGACATTACGCTGTATAAACGCAAAAAAGAAAAACAAATCATCAGAACAATTTTTAGAAAAAAATTAACTCACCAACAAATTAAAACACAACAAAGAGGGAAAAATAAAAGACAGACAACAATATAAACAGTAGGTAATGTACTTTTATTCTCCGCATGAAAATAGATAGGCATGGACATCTTAAAACTTATCAAAATACATGTCTAATATGTTATGAAGTAGCTTTGTTGCTTTGTCTTTTTTGAAAAATTATTCAAAAATCGCGGTCGCGATTCGCGGACCAAAAAATGCCAAAAATTGCGGCCGCGACAATCGCAGATGCTAAATATATGGAATTCGGACCATCTAAATCTAAGCTGTATTTTCTTCCGGTGCCAGCATGGGGTTTCCATTCTCTGAAGAACTTCGATAGACATTAAAATAGCCAATATTAAAATAGCCAATATTCATAGCCTCTTACGCGTAGATTCATGCTAACATCTCTCTGTTACATTCAAACCTGCTGTCACAGCACTCCTTTTTTCGCTGCAGGAATACTTTTTCAGAGATCACAGAAAAGTAGTAGAAGAAAGGAAGTATGGAAGGTAGATGTTATGATTGGCGCAAGTGAGAAAGAGCTGACCGCACACCAGACGTACCCACTCTCTGTTCCAGGACGCAGAGATCTGAAGTAAGCAAAACTTAACAATTTGTCTGTTGAATTTTTTATATATGGAATAGATTTTTGTTGGTGGTGTCTGGAGTGTGGATTTTCACGGATTTTTCGCAAACTTGAATGCTACCTCAGGCAAAAATTCATTAAAAATTTTCTAATTCGTTTAGGAAAAAAACAACAGACAAATTTTTAGATCTAATGTTTGTGAACACGCATGCAAAAAAAAAAAACCCCAATCAATTTCCATGAGCAATAAGTGCGATATTCATTACGTAAGACATGTCAATAAAATCCAATATGGCGGCGTATCCATGGAAACGAAACTTTTTTCTAAAATTTGATTGCGGATTTTAAGACTCCTTACTATGCTTGGTATATGTGTGAAATTTGGTAAAATTCGGTCCAGTAATAAGCGAGATAGCCTCCAGGTGTAGCCCCCCCCCCCCCATAAGTTAAGATAGCGATACACCAAGGCGTAGATGATACAACCAAGTAAAGATCACTCATGCACACCAGAGTCTTTCCTTCAGTAAGAGTTGTTCGGCACTTGCAACACAATAACGTCGTAAAACTGCCGAAGATTAGAGGTGTTACAAGAGAGTAACAAACACAAAAAGGAGGGGAGAAAAGAAAGACAGATGTTTGATAGAAAAGGAGGAGCAAACCATACCATAGCATCCGACAACCATCCACAGAGTCTGTTTAAAGCAGAAACACATAAATGAAAAACAGAAACACTTTATTTGCCATTTTCGTTGTAAAAGATGTCTTACAAAGGCACTTACAACTGTACTGTATGCAAATCAAACAGACCACGACATACGTACAGAGAAAACTTCTAACAATGAATACGCCTTCTCTGGCTGCCATGATACATGTAATGTATTGTAGTATGATGCCCTGTTGTGAGCTTGCTGAGCATGGACACGTGACGCTGGCTGTGTGCTTGCGTCTAACAACAATTGCCGCAATTGATATCACCAGTAATTCTGATACGATTAAACACTTGCTCACTTAAACAACCGAATTCATTGATTCACCCATGACTTAAATGTTACGCTATCGGAACGAAGTAAAGAGCTGAAGATACCAAAAGGCTGAGTCAAAAACACTGCAAAAGAAAAAGCTGATAACCAAATATCTGTTTCTTTCTTTTATAAAACTATTGAGCACTTTGATCGGTAACCAAAGGAAAAGTATAAGCCGTGGGTTTTTTTCCACTTGCCACAGTCCAGTATCCAACAGAATTGTATCATCTGACACCACACATACACATTCACATAGCCTGCATACAGCACAACCACAAATGAACTTGCGGAAAAAGAAACACTAATTAAGCAGAATATTGTGATAGACAGGAAATCGTGGAGATGTTAAAATATTCCAAGTTTACAGCTGAAATAATGTCTTAAAAAAGCACAAAGAATGCACATGCACAAGGAATATCCACTTTTAGTTTGTTGGTTCATACCAGTTTTAAGGGTATTGTCATGTAATTAAAAAAGGCATTCTGAGGGTATCATGCATTGTCGATAACTTCACATATTTTGGCAGTGCAACACGCTTAAAATGCCCGCATCGATGTAGAAATAGTTTTGCGTACGAAAAAAGCAGGGGCATCATTTGAAATTCTTATTTCTTTGACTTTGTTTGAGAAGTATTTTTGCCTATGGATTGGTCATTGTTAGATATTAACGGAGAAACTATATGATTGTTGTACATTACTGTAAATGAAGGAAGCATATTAAAGTGTACAAGGTTAGAAAAAGCACACGAGAAGAACATTTACATGCAAACAGTAAAAGTATATGAGAACGTTGCGTTTGAAAACAGAATTTTTATCTATGCAAACAGAAAAATGGAAATTAAAGGTGAAAATTAACAAATATTGCAGTATTTCAAAATAAAACAAAAACAGAATAAAATAATGAGTTTTTGCCAGACAGGCTTCCATACAAGAGAAGCAAATAATTATATGTACATTATGATGACTGAGACTGTCCCGCCGTAAGGTCACAACATTTCAGTTCTGAGGCGGAGTTCTCGGCCCTCTATCCATCTGGACACCGGCAGAAGAGGAAACAATCCAGGAAGGACGTGGGATTTACCCTATCAAGTATCTCTGTCTTTAATACGCTGGGATGCTTTATCCCACTCATCCACTATGCCCCTGACATGCAGGGATGAGGGAGGGAGGGAGGGAGGGAGGGAGAGAGAGAGAGAGAGAGAGAGAGAGAGAGAGAGAGAGAGAGAGAGAGAGGGAGAGAGAAATGACCTTTTTGTAACAGTAATGAAGAAGGATGAGGAAAAGATAGAGATAATACAGCAAAGTAAATATTACACATTTGAGTATTCTGGACCCGTGCAGTTCGTGTGTACCTTTTCTTTGCTAGAGATGATGTGAAGTATGTATTTCAAATGCTCTGATTACATGCATGTCATTCTTCATTGATGCTAACTTAATAAATCTTTATGCTTTGTAGAAATACGTTTTATACTCTTCTTTGAACTTCACATCCTCACTGCAGTCACTGATCTTTTTAAACTTCTCTACTTCAAAGCAACGTTTGGCATAAACAAAGTGTTTGACAACATCTTCACCAAGAGCTTCAACAAGAACTGTGTCGGCTTCTAGCGCTGTCAGAGCTGAGTCCAGATCATTGGGAAGTACTGCTGCATTGGTGTCAGCTTTAGGGAGTTCCAGCTGGGAAAGTAAAAAGAAAATATTAAAAAATGTCAGTTCAAAAATCTGCAGCAGTAGACTAGTGGGAGGATATGAGCAAGCCCTACTTTCCCCAAAGAAGATGTTTTTTATTTCCTAAGTTTGTATTTGTTATTAGGTTAATTGTGGAATCCCTCTTCATTTTGAATTATAGTTTTAGAAGTAGGTCCCAACAGACAGGAGAGATATGCATGAACCTAAAAAAATGGGAAGAAACCACACATCACTTTACAATGAAAGTCCCTGAGAACACATCATTACATCATCATGTACCTACACAATGCTGACAAAACAATCAAGAACCTAAATTGAAAGATATGGAAGTAATAAAAGGGTAATCATCACTTCTGCTTCATGCTCGAAGAAAAAGAAATGGGACCACACCTTTCTCTTGATTCCATCCAGACCAGCAGCCACTGTACAGGCCAAGACCAGGTATGGGTTACTGGCAGCACTGGCCAGTCGGTTCTCCAGGTACACGTTTCTGCCATGACCTTCAACCTTCAGTCGGTAGGTGGCCATTCTGTTCTGCACACCCCAGTTGCTGTACGTGGGCGCCCAGGGTGACCCGACACGCCTATGGGATAGACACATCAGGAATTAAAAGCCAGAAGATGAAAAGAACATTCTGAAGCTTTTCTTACAATGGGACGCCATATGGCGTACACATGAGACAAAACTAAACCACCTTGCTCAAACAAAGGAAATGTTAGAACAAGAAATTCATAACCACAAACATACCAATACTGGTCATCATAAGGTGGTTCTGACCTTTTATAGCAGAGCTGATTAGTATGTCCAAGGTGGACAAAAGTTATAGATACGATTTTATTGCTTGTTCCAAAATGATTATGGATTAACACAAATTTTAATTGAAGTCTTCCGGATTTTTGATGATCTTGTTTTTAAAGAATGAAAGATAAAGGAAGGATGGTGAGGCAGGGGGTATGGCATCTACAGTCTTGATTGGCTGAAATAATATTGCAAGGTAACAAAGAGCATAGTTAAGGGGAAAGCGAATTTGCCACATCTTGATCCATTGGAGAATGACAACTATGACCACTATTTCGCATTGGCTACACATGGGTCACTACGTCACCAAAAAGGTCCTTTCCTCACAAAGTAGCCACAGCAAGCAGGAAAATAAGAGGAAGTAATTCTCGTTGCCTTTTATGTACAGCTGCGTTCTGTACTCATTACCCCGTGGTTCTTCTGCCCGTGACAGGTCGTCCATTTGAGAACACTTGAACTTCATCCACTGGGGCACAAAGGGCATAACTATTATAGCTTGTTCCATACTGATCATGCCCCCCCCCCACTCCCTGCAGGTGGAGAGGCAGTTGGTGAGAAACATTCACAATTTGAGAAGGAAGTGCCTATTTGCAACGCTGCGTTGGATTAGCGCCATTGCTAAATAAAACGCCGCGTTGTGATCTGAGAAGGGCCTTGACTAACATGAAGTTAAAGAACCCAACTCAAAGTCAAAGCGCTGTGGTGTAACTTGAGAAAACAACGACAACATAATAATATAGAATATTGACTAGGTTGGAAAGGGGGGGGGGGGAGGTTGGGTCATAGCGACCTGACTTTCTTTTCGAGGATTTATAAAACCCCTTTCCTTTCTTTTAACTTTTGTTTAGGGGTATTCATGGAAAAAAAAAAAAAAACGGAAACCAAAAGACACGAAAGTGGGGTGCAAAATGAGACAGACACGGTGGAGGGGGCGGCGTCTTGTGAGGAGCTAAACGCCTGTGACCCCCTGTCTAGAGCCCTATCCAACGATAGAAAAGCCGCCAGGATGATTGTAAACGAC